GGGAGGGGTGGGTGAGGGGCGCGGGCACGCTTGGCGGGAGAAGGGCGCGGCTTTGACCCGGGCCCCGGCCCCTCTGCACCGTCAGCGAGCCCACTTTGGACCCCCCAGAGCCCGGGTGGGCTGAGCCTGGGGCACGCTGTTAAGTAGAGGCGGTGAAATTTCGGCCGGTCGACCTGTAAATGACACCCTAGATCAAAGGCTTGGAATAGCCTGCCTACAGCGAAGCCGTACGTTTACCTAAGAGCTAGAGGTTAATTGTCTTAAGTCTTTGGAAAATACCTTTTGAAAGTATTTTAATTTAGGGTTCTTTTCGGGGGGGAAAGGTCACCTCAGATGGAGCATCTGCTAACCCCTGTCTACTGGGGTGTGTGGCTCCCCTGCCCCAGATTTTTGGCCTGGAGGCCTGGAGGAGCCCCCAGGTGAGAGCTAGCCAGCTGCGAGAACCCCCGGGAAGGCGGCAGACACAGATGGGCGCGGGCAAGGCCGGTCTTCACATTTAGGCGGGCTGTGGGTTGATGGATGAGCAGCAGGTGGGCAGGGCGGTCCCCTGAGCAGTGGTTGCCCATCATGAGCATCACCCAGCAGCCGGGTGCCCTCCCACTGCCACACCAAGGCCCCCACAGGGAGGCTGGCCTCACCCCAGGAATTCTTGGGTGGCTGGGTGTCCCTCCTGGGCCTTGAGCTGAAGAAAGCTACCAGACCAGTGGAGCTTTCTGTGATTTCCTTGTTTACATTTATTTAGATCAGCGGTTCTCAAACTTTAACTGCCCCGGAAATTAAAACTAAAATTTAAAATATTTATTAATTTATTTCAGAAATAATAAATCTATTACATGTTAAGAAACTGATTTTGGGGGGGTTGGGAATAACAGTGTTTCTCCCCGAATTTTAGGGCAAAAAGAGTGGTGTTGGTTTTCCCATTTTTTGCGCATCTCTTTTATGTCTGTCTTAATAGAGGACAGCCGGATTCTCATAACCGCTTCTGCATTGCGTTGCCCTAGCACACGTCACGTAGCCTCTGACAGACTCCACTGTACGCTCGTGAGAATGAGAAAGGAAAAGGCGGCTGTGGCTTAGTAGTGTTATGAAAACAATCTAAACTAAATGGACCCCCTGAAAGGGTCTCCCAGACCACGCTTTGAGAACCGCTGATTTAGAATATTGCTTTCCTTACAAGAAATCCCATATGCATTGTGGAAAAGCTTTAAGCACTCAGGAAACCGGAGAGAAGAAAATGAAAGCCGCCCATCACGTTCCAACCCATTGTGTTTGTCTTTTAATAATAAAGTGTCGCCACTGACTGGTGGCTCCGATTCAAGGCAGATTGGGCAGATGTAAGTGGCCCTCAGGTTTTGAATGGGGGCAGGAAAGCTCTAATATTCCACAACGCTGATGCCGGTTCCTGGTTGCAGGCGGACCTGACCTGGAACCCTCTCCTTGGCCACTGTCCTTTCTAAGGAGCTCACCTTCCAGAGCCCACCTGCACAGACCTGCCAGGGGACCCTCTTGGGAGCGGAGAGAATGGTGAACTTCAGGCAGCTCTCCCTGGGTGCGAAGGCCGCCCTGGCTGCTGGCACCGTCTTCGTGTCCATGATCATCTCCCGCTCCTGCCTGTCGGAGAGCCTCGAGCTCAGGGCCTGGCGTTGGCTGTTCCGCCTGCAGCTTGCCCTGTTTGCCAACTCGCTCATGCTCATCGGCTCCCTGTACATCTGGCGTAGCGCCGTCAGCAACCTCAGCCATTCCCCAGCCACGGAGTCCGCCTGTTTTCAGCTCTGGAAGATGGCCGTTGTGGCGTTTCTGGCCCTGGCGCACTCCAGTTTCTTCACCATGCTTTTCTTAGTGGCCGAGGAGCCCTATGTCTTTTCGCTGGCCGCCTACTCCTGCCTCGGGGCGTACATCATCATGGTCTTCTTCCTCTGCACCCTCAGCGGCATGGAGCAGGCCTACCAGCTCCTGGCCTGGCACAGCGGTAGGGTGGTGGGCAGCCTGGATAAGACGAGGAAGCTGGCGCTGAGGCCGGCCCTGGCCGTGGCGGTGACCGCCGTGCTCAGCATAGCCGGGCTTCTGAACGCTGCCCAGCCCCCGGTGGTGAAAACCGTGGAGGTGCCCATCCGTCAGCTGCCCCCGTCGATGGACAACCTCAAGATCGTGCTCCTCTCAGACATTCACTTGGGCCCCACGGTGGGCAGGACCAAGATGGAGATGTTCGTGAGGATGGTGAACACGCTGGAGCCAGATGTCACCGTGATCGTGGGGGACCTCTGCGATGCGGAGGCCTCGGTCCTGCGGACGGCCGTTGCTCCTTTGGGCCGGGTTCGCTCGCGCCTGGGCACCTACTTCGTCACAGGGAACCACGAGTACTACACGTCAGATGTCAGCAACTGGTTCGCGCTGCTGGAGTCCCTGAACGTCAGGCCCCTTCACAACGAGAATGTGAAGATTTCCGCCACCGGGGCCCAGCGTGGAGGTGGGGATGGTGGGGGTGACGCCTGGATCTGCTTGGCTGGGGTGGATGACATCGAAGCAGACCTCCTGCACTACTCTGGCCATGGCATGGACCTCGAGAAGGCGCTGGGGGGCTGCAGCCCGGACCACACCACCGTCTTGCTAGCTCACCAGCCCCTGGCCGCCAAGAGAGCCCTTCAGGCTCGGCCAGATATTAACCTGATCCTTTCTGGGCACACGCATGCCGGGCAGATCTTCCCCCTGAACGTGGCGTCTTATCTCCTGAACCCCTTCTTTGCTGGTCTCTACCAAGTGGCCCAGGCCACGTTTGTATATGTCAGCCCCGGCACGGCCTACTACGGGATCCCCATGAGGTTGGGTAGCAGGGCGGAGATTACACAGCTCATCCTGCAGCGGGCTCCCTGAACCTGGCCCTGCCCTGTACGCCCCCCCATCGCCCTCGCCCTCTCTCTGTCCCCTCCTCGGAGCGCGTTGCCTGCTTTACACCCTCCAGCCTTTCCTGCCCAGCCCTGCCAACACGCCCTTGTCACAGCCTGGCTTGGACAGTGATTTGTGGTGGGGCTGCCTGGCAGGTTAACTCCGTAGACGGCCAGTTGCTTTTTTATATGCATCCGTGAGGCCACTAAAGTCACACGCGTAAGGACCGGCATCTATTCTCCAGATGATGTGGAGTAAACCGTCTTCTGCAGAGCTCCCAGGGATAAACCGAAACATGGGGTGGTTTGAAAGGGATGCCTCTATAAAGCCGAGCAGGGAAGGAGCTCTGAGGGCTTTGTAGGCCCCCTCTGGGACTTAGGCAGTTTCCAGAATCGCTGATGCAGAGCCTCCTGGGTAAGGGGCGTGTTGCCAGGTAAACTGGGAGAGCAGGCGAACCCGAGGCCCCTTTGGGGGCTGGAGAAGAGTCTCCCCCGACACTGTTCTGTCAGAGTCCCCTTCATTGAGGGAATCGGCAAAACCTGCTGGGACACAGAGCTCATCCTGTTCCAGACCTTGAGTGATGCTGTTTTGCTGCTCGCTCCTGGGCCGCGGAGGTTGGGGTGGGGTGGGGTGGGAGAAAGGGAGCACGTGGTAGGTGATGGTAATGGTGCTGCGCAGGGACTCGGAGGGAGGGTGTTCGCCGCCTTTTATACAGTTGGGTGAGATGATTAGGACAGGTTGCTTTTCTCTACTTAGGGTTGAGGAAACTGAGGCAAAGAGCTGTAAGGAGGGCTCTGCTACCTCCCGGTGAAAGTGTTCTTTCCACTGTCCGGTGGTTCAGGATTCAGTTACCAGAATTACGAGAACCAGGGCCCAGAACCTGATGTGCTCTCAGAGTGGTTTGCTTGAGACTATTTTCAGTTCCCCCCATAACTACCTGGGCCGGGGCCGGGGACGGAGTCGGCTAGTTTCAGATCAGTGTAGGATGTCTGTTAGGTTGAGAAAGAATCAGGAACTGAAACCCCACCTCAGGTTTGGGTCTGGTTTTTGCAGGGGGGAACCAAGGCTCCCTCTGCACCAGTGAGGAAGTTGCATGGGGAACGATGGGCCTCTGGGCTCGGGCAGGGCCTGGAGGCCTTGCCTCCCGCTGGGACCTGGCTGTGGGGAGCTGGGACTGTCCTTCCTACCAGACGGCTTCCAGTTCTTCCAGTTCCTTGGCCTGACCTCATTAGAACTGCCCTAGGCCTCTGACCACAGGCTCATAGGGCCATCTCTGCTGGACCCATAGAAAAACAGGCAGAGGTTACTGTGTCTGCAGTGACTTCACCTCTGTTGGTCCAGCCCTTGTGCCAGACTCAAGAGACCCTTTGACCCTGGGGTAGCAATAAGCAGTCCTGTTAGGAAAGGCCCCTCTCAGAAGACTGAGGACCTGGGCTCAGCGTTGACATTTTTGTGACAGTGAGTCTTTCCCTAACAGGAAACACAGACACCACTCGGACTGGAGAGGCTACCCTGCTGCTCACGGTCAGGCAGTGTTGGGCAGATGACTGGACCTCACTGAGCCTCGGTTTCCCTCACCCTACAATGGGGATAATTTTCATGCCTACCTCAAGTCTGTTTCGTGGGGAGGGTACTGACACGTGGCGCATTCGTTGCACGTGGCACAGTCACGATGGAAGCACTCAGTGTTGTTAATTTGTAAAAGTCACAGTGGGGCTTGCTTAGGAACTGTGTTGGGTGCAGGTGTCCCGGGAATTTATAGAGCAGACAATCCTGGGGGATGTGAGTGGGTCCCATGCCACCTGCGGCCGGGGACAGTGATTTGCAGGGCTTTGCTCTCCTCTGTCTGTGTTAACGTCTCCTGTGCACGCTCTGCCTGGTGGATAGTTGAATCCTGGGGAGTCCTGAAGACCACCCTTCTTATTTCCAAAGTATTGACAGCAGGCCTTTCAGTCCAGTGTGTCCAATTCTTCTCTGTTAGACACAAAACAGGTCCATCTTACGTGCACAAGGAATAGTGAGCAGCACCTTCTCATACTTGGCTTGTATTCCATGATGTGCTGGGAGTTTCCCGGCAGAAACTTCTCCGTCACTGTCCAGATAGGGCCCTGAAGGGTCCCTCTCCACGGCACCCTCTGCACCTCTGGTCTTCACCCATCTGCCGTCTTTGTTTGTTTATGGCTGGAGGAGGTGGTGAGAAGTATTTTCTTAGAGCTTGAAAAGTCTTTCCATTTCATCTTAGTTTCTTTCTTTCTTTTTTTAACCCTGTAAATGCAAATTAAAAGGAAATGTTTTTTAAAAATTAACAATAGCCTGTGTAGTATGATCCTATTATAAAATTTCAATACGTTAATCCCACTGTCATCTATTCCAAACATCCATCCATCTTTCTTTCTCTTGTTTGTTTTGTTTTAAACTTTTTATTGCGAAAATTTAAAAATGTTCACAAAGCCCAGCTGGGCGTGGCTCAGCGGTTGAGCGTTGACCTAGGATCCAGGAGACTGTGGTTTGGTTCCCGGTCAGGGCACATGCCCGGGTTGTGGGCTCAATCCCCAGTCGGGGGCGTGCAGGAGGCAGCCAATCAATGACTCTCTCATCATTGATGTTTCTCTCTCTCTCTCCCTCTCCTTTCCTCTCTCTGAGGTCAATGGAGATATATTTAAAAAAAATAAAAATAAAAATGTTCACAAAGTAGAGAGGATCACATTCTGAATCGCCATGGACTCATCACCCAGCTTCCATGATTGTGACTATTCTTCTGCTCTTTCTCCCTGCTCCACAATCTCTCTTTTTTTCTTTTCTGGCTGGACTGTATTAAGGCAAATCTTACAAAATATGAATTTACCCCAAAATACTAAAGTATGAACCCTTTCTAGAAAAGTATTACATTATGCTGTTATAGCCAGTGAAATTAACAATATCATCTAGTATCTGGTTAGGAGGTTTGGAGGCTAGAAGCCAGGCTGTCTACCTCTCAATGAAAGTGTTTTTTTCCCACTGTTACACGTGAGTAACAGGATTCAAATGCAATTTACTGTCTAAAGAGTTAGTATTCAGTTTTTCCTGCTTATGTTAATTGTTTCTCTCTCTCTTTACTGTAGTAAAAAGTACATAGCATAAAATGTATCATCTTAATAATTTTAGGTGTACAGTTCAGTAGTGCTTATTCACACTGTTGCGAAACAGATCTTCAGAACTTTTTTATCTTGTAAATCTGAAACTCTGTATTCATGAAACTATAACTTCTCTCTTCCCCTCCCCTCAGCCCCTAATAACCACCATTTTACATTCTGTTTCCATGGATTTGACTTCTATGGGTACTTTATATAAGTGGAGTCACACATGGCTTATTATACTTAGTGTAAGGTCCTCTGTGTTCACTGTGTATGTGACAGGACTTCCTTTCTAAGGCTGCGTAATATTTCATTGTATGGATATACCACGTTTTGTTCATCCATCCATCCATCCATCCATCCATCCATCCATCCATCCCTCAGTGACATTTCTTTCTGCCACCTCTTTCTGTCTCTCGTGAGTAGCGCTGCTATGAACGTGGGAGCGCACATCTCTCTCCAAGACCCTGCTTTCTGTTCTTTCGGATCCATACCCCGAAGTCAGGCTGCTGGGTTATCCAGTAGTTCTCTTTTTCATTTTTTTTTGAGGAACCTCCATACAGTTTTCCGTAGTCGTCGAACCCTTTTACAAGCCCAGCAGCAGTGCACAAGGGTTTCGATTTCTCTGCATTTTCACAGAACTTGTTATCGTTTGTGTTGTGGGTAGCGTGAGGTGGTAACTTACTGTGGCTCTGATTTGCGATTCGTCTGCGGTTCAGATGATGAGTGGTGTTGAGAATCTTTTCATGTGCTTGATGGTCATTGTGTATCATCTTTGGAGAAATGTCTGTTTTAAGTCTTTTCCCCATTTTTAAATCAGGTTATTTGACTTCTTGCTGTTGTTGAGTTGTATGAGTTCTTTTTGTGTTCTGTATATGGAAGATATATGATTTGCAAGTTTTTTTTCCCCACCCCAACATTGACTTTTCGCTCTCTTGCCCTTCGTGGACAAAGCTTTCAAGGATGTTCTCTTTGTCTGTTTTTGCGTTTGCTGCCTGTGTTTGTGGTGTCATACTCAAGAAATCATTGCCACAATATCATGAAGCTGGTGATCCATTTCGAGTTCATTTTTATGTATGACGTCAGGTAAGGGTCCAGCTTCATTCTTCTGCATGTGCTAGTTTTCCCAACGCCATTTGTTGAAGAGACTGTCGTTTTCCCATAGAATGGTCTTAGCACCCCTGTCAAAGATCATTTGAGCACATATGTGAGGGTCTGTTTCTGGCTTTTTTATTCTATCCCATTGGTCTGTTTGTCTGTCTTTATGCCAGTACCAAAGTGTTTTGATTACTGTAGCTTTGTAATATATTTTGAAATTAGGAAGTATGAGTTTTCTCACTGTGTTCTTTCTTTTCAAAATCACTTTAGCTATGTGGGGTTTCTTGAAATTCCATATGAATTTTAGGATGAACGTTTCTATTTCTGCAAAAAATGCTGTGGGGGTTTTGATCCAGATTGCATTGAATCTGTAGATCACACTGGGTAGTATGGACATCTTCATAATACTGGGTCTTCCAAATCATGAACATGGAATGTCTTTCTATTTATTTGTGTCTTCTTTAATTTCTTTCAGCCATGTTTTGCAGTTCTCAGTGTATGGATCTTTTACCCCCCAACTTAGATTAAATACTTTCCTGAAGGAGTCTGGTTCTTTTTAGTGGGAAATATTTAGAGACCATAACTTAAGTGCTAGAGGAGCTCATTGCTACAGTCTAGTGTCAATTCTAAGTTGTTTCAGTGGATATTGCTAAGAAATATAAATTTATTTTAGAAAAAGAAAATAAGTTTATAGTAGTATTTCCAATTCAGATGGAAGATTACAGACTTTTTAGAACAATAGACTTTATATTTTAGAGCAGTTTTATGTTCACAGCAAAATTCAGTGGAAGGTACAGAAATTTCCCACATATCCCTGATTACAAGGTTTTTACTTAACTTTGATTTTTGTTTGTTTCTCTTATTTTTGGTTCCTAACAACCCAATGCAATTACTTAATTACTTTAGGCTACTATATACATTATAGATTCAAAATAGTAATAGAATATTATTACTCAGATGAAATCTACTGGCTGCAGGTTGGCTGGTTTGTCTGTGTGTTTTATCTGAATGAAGTTTAAAATGTACTTTTATCCTGAGTCAAAATACTATTTCAGACTCACTTGAAATGATTCTTTCCTGTGTGTGAAGTCAGGTCTGTTTTTAACTTTTAAGAACTATTTTATATTTTTAAAACTTATTTAAAAAGAAGAGCTGTGCACTTTT